TTATTATTATTATTATTATCCAACCAGAGCTGAAAATGTGTCTCCAGTCTCACCTCAGACACAGTAGATAACTACCAGAATAATAATGATGAATAAAGTTGCAGTTAGATTTCAGTAATGCAGGAACAAGCAAACGGGATACCTGAATGTTAAAATAATACCTTCTGCTCTCTCTGAAGGTACGAGCTAAGTGAGAAGATGCTGGCTGCGTGCAACGTTCTCAAAACTCACCTCAGTGACCCGAAGGCTGTGAGCAGTAAAGATGTGGTGAGGAGTTTTTGTGGTTTTGTCATACTTAGATGAGTCTTGTCATACTACAAGAAGCTGTGGAATAACATTTAACAACATCTAATACGGAGATCTAATTCCCACATAGTGACTGGTTAATACTGGTGTTTTAGAATTTTTATTGCAAACCAACTCTTTATTTGTTATTTTTTACCCTAAAAAGCTATGAATTGCAATGATGGACATGTTCAAGAAGATGGAATATGCTTTTATATATATATAAATCACACTTATGCAATCACATTTTATGTGATTCTAGCATTTGTCAGCAGCCTGCACTAGAGCATTTTTAGCATATTATTTTCAGATTCTTTTGCATGTTAGCATTCCCGCACAGCTCTACACAGATACTGTGTATAATCACTAACGAGACCCCCTCCTGCCTCCTCAGAGAGCCTGTCTGAACACGGTGCAGCATGAGTGGTTTCGTGTGTCCAGCCAGAAGGCGGCGGTGGCAGCCATGGTGGAGGACTACCTGACGGCCTTCGGGGGCGTTTCGACGCCCGTGCTGCGGCACATAGTCAACATGGCTGACGGCAACGGCAACACGGCGCTGCACTACAGCGTGTCGCACTCCAACTTTCAGGTGGTGAAGAAGCTGCTGGATGCAGGTGAGAGTCAGCAGAATGATCCTGTGAATCTGAAATAAGTAAAGCAACATGTCAGCATTGAGGACAATTGTAAAAATGCAGTTTTAAAAATCTTTTCATCTTCACGTGCATCAAGTTCAGTGCATCATATCAAAACCTTCATCAGGGCTCCTATGTTTAGTGTTCGAGTTGAGTAATAGGTTGAAAGGAATTCCTGTTGTCTAGTTACAATGTTTCAAAGCCTTCCTAATCCATCAAAGCCCTGAGATTATCTTTGTTTTGCTTAAAATGTGACCAGTTTTGTTTTCCTCCCCGCACCACCTCATCAGACCAACAGAAGCTTTTGTGTTTTTCCTCCTCCTGCTTCTTTCCATCCTTATCTTCCTCTTTAAGATATCAGGTTGCTGCAGAAAGCCAGCAGTAACTTGCATACTTAAAGGCATGTAACTACACTGATTTTCTCTCTTCGTCAGCTGCCTACTGATCCAGAGTGATCCACTGCAGATTGCTGCACTTTACTCAACACTAACATGCATACTGCCAGAATCAACACTTACTCTTTATAGTAATAAACTGTAAGACTGTAAGTGGTGGTAAATCTGCAAGTCAAAGACAAAAAGACACTCCTTATAACTAGACAGATACAGATGACAGGACTTCTTCTGTCTTCACGCACAGAGTCAGTTCCATGAAAAGCGCTCTATAAATATAATGTTTTTGTAGTTGTGGAATTGCAACTAAGTTCATATAGTCAAGTACAAATTTAAACTTGTACTTTACTTTTCATACTATTTTCTACTTCGACTCCACTATCCCACATGTCAGAAGGAAATATTGTACTTAGAAATTAGCATTTCTGCATACAAAACATGGAGAACTAATAAAATGTTTTATTATAAATTAAACAACCGAACAGTTTATACTAGTACTATTGTGATAAAGTCATTTTTCATGTAAAAACATTTCATGGTTCCAGCTTCACGCATTTGAGGATTTGTTTTTCCTTTTTAATAATTTTAATATATTTTTAAATAATTTGTAATAATAATAATGAGGTTTGGACTTTTAGTTAGACAAATTGACAAATGTTAATTTAAGTAAAGGATCTGAAGACTTCCTCCACC